GCCGGCGCCGCAGCAGCCCGAGGAGGGCGCGGGGCCCGGCGCGTGCAGCCTGCACCTGAGCGAGCGCGCCGACTGGCAGTACTCGCAGCGCGAGCTGGACGCCGTCGAGGTCTTCTTCTCGCGCACGGCCCGGGACAACCGGCTCGGCTGCATGTTCGTGCGCTGCGCGCCCTCCAGCCGCTACACGCTGCTCTTCTCCCACGGCAACGCCGTGGACCTGGGCCAGATGTGCAGCTTCTACATCGGCCTCGGCTCGCGCATCAACTGCAACATCTTCTCCTACGACTACTCGGGCTACGGCGTCAGCTCGGGCAAGCCCTCCGAGAAGAACCTGTACGCCGACATCGACGCCGCGTGGCAGGCGCTGCGCACCCGGTGAGCCCCCCGGGGGTCTCCAGTCCCGGCCTGCAGTCGCGTGAGGCGGGGAGGGCAGGCGGGTGCCCTGGGGGCCTGTGGGGCGGCCGGCGGGGAGAGGGGCCCTTCCTCCCGGGCTGTGCGCCAGCAGAGTGTGACCCCCCTCCCCCCGCCCCCAGGACCCTGTGGACTCGCTTTTCTTTCTCCAGCCCTGGCCTTCTCCCACCCTCTCCCCAAATCCCACCAGCCCTCAGGTTCCTTGTGAGCTCAGACCCGGGGGATTTGCCTGTTCAGGCACGCCTGGGTGCCCCCGGCCCACTGGCTGGGTCTTTTGTGGCTCTGGTCACCGCAGGGGTGGAGGCGTGGGGGTGGCTTAAGTGCTGGGCAGAAACAACTTGGTTCGCGCTGAGTTTGTGTGAGCTGGCCGCCAGAGCCTGAAGGTCCTCAGACTGAAGTGACCTTGGGCAAGGCACGGGAGCCTCTCGACCTCGGGCTCCCATAGTGTGTGATCCGACGGGATGACTTCCAAAGACTTTTGCTCCCGTTGTAAAGGGCTCCGAGGGGCCATGGGTGGGCAGCGCTGGAGGCAGCTGGAGGGGCGCATGGTGTGAAGTTTGTCTCCTGGGGAGAGGGGTGCAGAGTAGCTGGCGCTACGTGGGCAGGAAGGTAGCTGGTGGCGGTCGGCCTGGCACCTTCCACAGAGCCTCAGAAACAAGCCTGGGCTGAGTTTGAATCTTACCTGGCAGGGTCTGGGGACTCGCTTGACCTTGAATTAGCATTCACAGGACCGGAGAGTATTTATGGTGGGAGAGCCTTTGATGTGCAAGGCCCAAGTGGCCGGCCTGGTTCCTGGGTCAGAAAGCGGGAGTTTTATTCTCATCTTGGGCACACCTCTGGCAAATGCGCAGTCACATCACCTGTTTGTGCTCTGGTTTTGGTATTTGTGACTTTTCGCCACCTACCCTAGAGCAAGAATGGTGAAAATACCTGAGATCATGTCTATAATGCGATCTGATTTCTCCCACTGAAAGAGTCCCCAGGTTAAGTGCGGTTGGCACGATTCTGGCAACTGGCACTTAATGTGTTTTATCTAAAATACGTTTGCGTGGCTTATACAGATTGCCAACATGAATGATGTCGTCTCCTGTTCATGCCTATGCTCCTAAATTACTCTTTGCCTTTCGGGGAAAATGCCGGCAGGAAAGTATTTAGGATTTAATGTTACATTGTTATTTGTGTTCTCTTGGAGTCCTGAAGGACTTCACTGGGATGATGGTTTTTCGAAAGTGGTTTGGGTAGATGAGAATGTATCCAAGTAGATCCACTGAGTCAGGATCCACAGGTAGTTGAAAGCCACCTGTTCCAGTAAAGGGTTTCAAAACTATGTGTCCTACACAATCAATACATTGCTACAGTGTACTGTTGATAAAGGCATTAAGAAAAAGGGTTGGCATTGAATCTTTTAAAAATGAACCATTAAAACCCTACTTTGAGTATCCAGATGTGAGAATTTCTTTTTTCTTTTTTAAGATTTTATTTATTTATTTATTTGAGAGAGAGAGAGCATGAGAGGGGGGAGGGTCAGAGGGAGAAGCAGACTCCCTGCTGAGCAGGGAGCCCCATGCGGGACTCAATCCCGGGACTCCAGGATCATGACCTGAGCCGAAGGCAGTCGCTTAACCAACTGAGCCACCCAGGCACCCCAGATGTGAGAATTTCTATAGACCATTGTTCGTATGTGTGTGTAACTACATTAGAACGAAAGCCTTTCAGATATGAGGCTAGCCTTTGCCCTGAATATGCAGGTGTGGCTGTGTTACAAAATAGGCTAGGTGTAGTTATTTCCTGGAGGCTTTTGTCATATTTAGTTTAAGGGCATTGTTTTTGGGTAAACAATTCGATTCAGTTTGGGAAGATCTGATGATAGATCTAAATTTTGCCTACCGTTTCTTTAATTTTACAGTGGAATTCATATCTAGATTGATTCACACACCTGTAAAGTGGGGTAGAATTTAAAGGCTGCGGTGAGAGTCTTAGAATTTGAGGAAACTTACAGACCATCCTGCCCTGTGCTTTTCAACTGTTTGGAAGGTGACCCCACAGTAACACATAGACGTCACGCCTCGATCAGGCACACACATATACATCATATCTGTCTACACGTCTGTATCTGAAGCAAATGTTTCACAAACCCCTCTTTTTTCTATGGGCAACGTGCATGGCATAATATATTCCATTTCAAATTTTTAAAAAGCAGAAGAAGAATGTGGGTTGCTAGGCACGGAATTTATTTCCTAACTCCTGGACGCGGGTCTTGTGCACGCACCCCGTCTGACTGAGGCCGGGGGAAGGCCGTCTCACGGGGCGTCCGCAGTAGGTCTCCTGACCGCTGGTTTCACACTCCTCCCACTACACCAGGTAGTCCTGCTTATCAGATTTCTCAAGAGGTGCATTTTTGTGTGTCGGTTACTCTAATAACATGGGAGTTACCCGACCCTGAAGCCGGTCCGTCTCCTCACTGGCTTCCTTCAGCCGACTCTCTTGTTCTCTCTGGTTCTGCTGCCTTCACCTTGCCTGGAAGGTGCCCTGTTCTGTGCCCGTTTACAGCTCTGTTCAGGTCCCTGCCAAGGCAGGAGTGCCTTCCACCACAGGTACCCGTTCCGTGGCTGGGCCAGACCCCCTTTTCCACCTCCTTCTTTGGGGATCTCTCTTCTGACCTGGTCCACACTGCTCACGATCCTGATGGGAGAGCCTGCCTTGTCCTGCATGGTCTCTGTCTATACTCAGGCTGCGTTCCCCCGGAGTACCTGGCCCCGTGCTTGCCTCCCTCCTCCCACTCACCTCTAGCCTCTTGCGTGTGCCCTTCTCCTGTGTCGGAAACACTGGATCCTGACCGGGTCCTGATTGGATTCGGAGACCCTTTGTGTTCCTGGACACCTGGTGCTCAGCCCCTTGACCTGCACTTATCGTGCTTTTTTACTATGTCTTGTTATTTAATGGTCCTTCCCACTAAATTGAAAGCCCCTTGAGGGAGGGACTCTGTGTCTTCTCTATGCCCAACAATGCCCTAAAATAATAGGTACACATTAAATATTTGTTTAATGAAGAGCACATATGGATGCCGCATAAGTCAATAAATGAGATAAATTTAGTTTTTCCTAAGTTGGACTCTTACAAACAAGAGTTGGGTCTTATTTTACCTCCAAAGCTTTAATATCCACGGACGCAACCGTAGACCAGAAAGGGGGGTTGGTTTACGATGTATTGGCCTGAGGTCTGATCCATTATGTGTTTGTTCTGGGGACAGTGAAGTGTCTGTTTCAAACAGAAGAGTAACAATAACCATTCCTTTATATTCCTCTTCATCTGTGTCCCACCCGTGTGTGTGTCAGCCCCTGCGCATGCTCTAACGTGCTGCCCGGTCCTTGAGGGAGGACTTCCCACATAGACACTACCTAGTATGCCTACTACCCACGTGCATGGGGGTCATTAGCAAGGAGTGGTGAAGTGAGCAAGTAGTCCAAAACAAAGGTCTGCGGGGGAAGTAAACGTGAAGGCAAGAAGGGTGTTCGTTGCTCTTTGGCCAGTAGATGATTATTTGAAGCATTTGAAAACTTGTTAGAAAAGGTGTGGAATAGAAGCAGCTTTGAAGGAGTCAGGAAGAGTGTGGACCCAGTGTGGACGAAGTTGGAGTCCCAGTCCATTTGGGCTGCTGTAAGGAGATACCACCGACCGGGTGGGCCCCAGACAACAGAGATGTATTCCTCCCGGTTCTGGAGGCCGGACATCTGAGATCAGGGCACCAGCGTTGTCGCGGTCCAGTGAGGACCCTCTTCCCGGTTGCAGACTGCGGACTTCTCATTGTACTTGCGCTGGGCGGAAGGGACGAGGGAGCGTTCTTGGGCAGCTTTGATGAGGGCACTAACCCCCCCCCCCCCCCGAAGGACTCCTAACCCTAACCCTCAGGACCTAACCACCTCCCAGAGGCCCCACCTCCTGATACCATCACTTTGGGGGTTAGGTTTCAACATGTGAATTTTGGGGGAGCGGACGTGAATATCTAGTCCTCCTGCAGTTGGTATGGGAACAATGAGGAGAGGTTCTCTACAATGGAGAACCTAAGCCCGACTGAAAGCTTGAAGGTTAGGACGTGCTTTACATTTGTGTTACATACTTTGCACACTTGTGTTACATACTTTGTTAAGTACGTTGTGAATACAAGCCATTGAGGGAATGCGTTGGAATCCCTTAGAAATATTTGTAGAGGGCGCCTGGGTGGCTCCGTCGTTAAGCGTCTGCCTTCGGCTCAGGTCATGATCCCGGGGTCCTGGGATCGAGCCCCGCATCGGGCTCCCTGCTCGGCGGGAAGCCTGCTTCTGCCTCTGCCTCGTCCCCTGGCTTGTGCTCCCTCTCTCGCTGTGTCTCGCTCTCTTAAATAAATAAATAAATAAATAAATAAATAAATAAATAAATAAATAATAAATACCTAGAAAGGATGCTGAAAATCAGCGCAGCCTTCTTGGAAGTTAGTGTTGGGACCTGAGCTGGGGCAGTGATTACTCTGTGTGGGTTAAGGTGGGAATAGGCAGATTAAGCCCCTCAGCACACATCCTCAGGGGTCCAAGTCCTCAGGGGTCCTCTGGACACAAGCAGCTGTAGAAGTGGGCCCCAGGATTCCAGAAGGTGTGAGTCAAGCGGATTTGCAAGCGTAAACCCAAACAAGCAAATAACCCAGAGCATGAGGTGGAAGATGGGTGGAGAGTATTTCGGCTGAAACATTTTAATCTAGAAAAACAGGAGAGAAGGCATTTGTGATTCAGTTTATCTTCAGTGTTTACCGGTGCCATCCACAGAAGTTGTTGGAACCTTCCGTTTGGTGCAGAGACTGTGGAAGGGCGAGGCGTTTGGTGACAGAAACACTGACCCAATCGGAGAAAGCAAATGCAAGAGAGAAAGAGAAACTGACTTTTGGTGCCTCGGTGCCAAAGGCAAATTACCGAAGACAATATTTCATTCACTCG